AATAAATATTATATATTGAATATACGATTTGCATAATCGACCTGAGGCAATAACAATTGATATTTAATTAATTATTTTTAATAGTGTTGCGATTTTTGATTAACTTCGTTTTATGATATTATATTATAATATGAAATGTTATGTTATTGTATATTATATTATACTATAGTATATTATAACAAGAAAAATACTTAAGTACGTTTTATTATTATATTCATGTGTGTATAAACTAAATTGTTAAATTAAAATATAATTATTAGATACCTCATATGGCTTCAAATAACATTATTAAAATATAAAAATTTTAGCAAATGGAAAATAATAAAATTTAGATTTAAAAATATAAATATATAAAATAATACTAAAATAAAAAACAGTCAAATACATTATTATTCAATACAATTTCGGCTTTTTATTAAACAAAAAAAGGGTATCTTAAAATTATATTTGTAATGTAATGTATTAATATATATATTTGCAATGTTTTTAAAATGTTTGTTTTTTATTATATTAATATATTCCGTTGTAACAGCTAAAACACTTAAAACGGCGGGATTTTTATAGACTAAGCACAAAAAGGGCTTATTGGAGTACCTTGTATGACTTAGAAAACATAATTTAAAAGAAAAAAATTTTATCTCAGATTTATCTGTCCCATATAAATACAAAATAATTTAAATATCGTTTATTTGCTTCTATCGACACGTAACTTGCCTCTCTGTAAGCTGTAAGCACTCAATTGGTTCCATCAATTGATCAGAGGGCGTCTGAGTATAATTTGAATATATCCATCAGTGGCCGCACTAAAGATTACTCCCCGATTGGCACTTAAATGCACGCAAGTGCTGGACATCAACTAAAATCCTTTTGTTGCATTCAAATCACAAAACAAATCATCAACGGCCTGCCACACACACACATACATACACATACACACACACTCGCTTGGCCCTTGTACATTTACAGACAAAACACACAAACTGTCGCCCTGGGTGCAATTCGACATTTTGGGCATTCAATAACGATTTGCACAAAAGCCGCATACACACACAGGCGCAAGCATATGAATATACATACACGCACATGCACACACACATATATACCAAAAAGAAAAGCCTTTAAAATTTGACCATTAACAGGCAGCCCAATGTTTACAAATGCCAGTTGACAAGGCAAAGCAAATTCAGTTCTGTTTGTCGAATGTGCGTTTAGCACGTAAGGATTTGTTATTGTCCCTCTCGCAGTGGCGAGCAGTGGGCGTGGCCAGCCGATTGAGGCGACTGCTCGATTTCGATCTAATCAGTTGCGCTCTAAAAGAAGCTGTTAACAATATTGTCAATTTTCTATAGCAGGGGGAGGGGGGCAGGAAAAGGGACAGGAGCAGGGGCTGGGGAAGGGGCAGGGGACAGCTTGTGCTTCTGTTTTCCGGCAGCTAGTTTATTTTTATGTTGAGAAAAAAAGTTAAATTTGCATAATTTTGTTTGTCCTCCCTGCTGCTGCTCCTGCCTCTGCCCCTGCTCCTGATGCCCCTGCTCCTGCTCCTGCTCTATTCTTTTGCTGTTTTGGGTGCCAGGTTGTTGGGTCCCTTTTCTGTGTGTCCTTGCCCCAATGCTGTTCATTTTGTGGGCAGCATTTGCCACATAAACACTTTGCTGCTGAACACTATGAATAATTAATGAGCCCTCTGCTGTTGTTGTTATTGTTGTTGCCAGTCAAGTCCGAACTTTTAAACAGGCAGCCGGCAAATGTTGATTCTGCTTCCCTTTTTGTATGTTGCATGCTTTTAGGCGCTCGCCGCTTGACCAATACACTCGTGCAATATTCGTTTAGCACACACATACATACACACACACACACGCACAGTCGAACTGTAGCGCTACATTATAGCACATTCAAATTCAAAACCGAAGCATTGTCAACTCCCCAGCTGATTTGCATTTGCCTGAACTAATTTCAGGCCTCTAGAAATTTGTATTGAAGTCGAGGTTGAAGTATTGAAATGATATTTGTATATTATTATGCATTGCCTAACAGATTTCTCTACAAAGGGATTACTGAAGTACCTCGTATGGCTTCAATAAACATTATTATTATTAAAAAAAAAAAAAATAAATAAAATAAAAGATTTCTCTATATTTTGTGCATTTTTTCTTATCCTTGTTTATATCATGTTTCCCGTCAACAATCTGTTGAGCACTTGACTGAGAGCTAACTACACACACGCACACAGAGAAAGAGAGAGAGAGAGAGAGAGAGAAGTGCCTGCCCTCTGACATATGCACAAATCACATTTGCACATCCTCTGCTCAAAATCAAATTATGTTATTTTTATAAGCAGCCCAAAAGTATGCAAATATTTGTTATGCACACACATATGATTCGCTCGGTTAGAATAAACGTTGCCAACCACACAAGAGCAGCAGCAGCAGCAGCAACAGCAACGGCAACGGTAATAACGGCAACCGGGGGCTTTCGGGCAAAGCAAAAAAGGTCGTTAGATTGTTAACAAGTTCATAAAAAGACGCTGCTATACAAACAGCTCACACACACACACACACACATGCAGGGCACAATTATAGAAGCAGCAGCAACTGGATCGAGGAGCGTGGAGCGAGGGCTGAGAGCAGCAGTTGCGCCTCTCTAAATACTACACGACGCGACTGGCTGCGTATTTACAAAGCACTTTTTGCCGCTGTCGCTGCGGCTGCTGCCTCGAGGAGCAACAACATGCAAACAGCACAAAAGTATGCTACAAAATAGAGACCAGAGTCAAGCCAGAAGCCAGGGCTGAATGCAGCTGCTGTTCACATGAGCCAATTGATGTCTGCCTGTGCGTGTGTGTGTTGTGGGCGTGGCTATGTACATGTGCATGCATATGCATATGCACAGATTGCAGCTGGCGGCTTGCATATTCAATGCTAAATTAAAGCATAAGCAAATACAATTGGAAAAGCGCACAAAACCAAATATAAATCCGCTTAAATGCAATGCAATTTTCGCTGCTGTTGTTGCCTTTTAAGTTGTTGTTTTCAGCGTTATTTAATGCCTAGTTGAGCAACAATAACAACAACAGCAGCAGCAAAAACAACAACAACAGCTGCCGCTGCGGCAGCAATTAAAAGCGATTTGTGACCGCAGCGTAAAGCGCTTTAATTCTATTGCCAGACCTTCACACACACACACACACACACACACACACAGAGAGAGAGAGGGAGAAAGAGATAGGAATGTGTGCGTGTGTTTGCGACTATTTAAAATTTAAAACAATGCCATTTATTTGAAATATGTTTGGCGAAATTAATTAAATTCCAATAAAGCAAGCATTAATAATAATTACGCGCACTTTTTTTATACGCGCCAATCTTAATGTTTTATATTGATTATATTTGCATATTTCATTAATTTAATTTTAATATTTAAACAATTTTTTATGCAGGCTCTTTTTTTTTTTTTTTTTTTTTTTTTGGCTCGCTAAAAAGCGCAATTTCATCATTTATTTACATTGTGTGAAACATTTTTCAATTAAAAATCCATTGTTCTAGTTTGACCAAAACTCTCAAGTTAAATATTGAATCAATGTTTGCAATTGATTATAATATGAGCCAGTAAAAAAACATACCATGTGTGTGTGTGTGTTTGCGTGTTTGTATGTGTTATCGCCCTTTTTTGCTGACATAACTTAAAAGGATTTACCATCATTACGGGTTAAATATTAAATTAGTTTTTATGGTATTCACTACGTAAACATATTCAACTATTATTAATAGATATTAAATATAACAGAGATACTATATATAAATAAATATAAGAAAAAAATTTATATGGTAAAGAAATAATAAATATATTTATAATATTCATTAGGCATATCTAATATTAAAAAAAAAAAAAAAAACAAACAAACAAACAAAACAAAACAAAAAATATTTAACGTATAGACGAAGTAACGAACGCATAAAAATTCTTTGTTGGTTCTGGAAATAAAAGGGAATTGGATGTTTTGGCACTATAGTTAACTATCGGTACTTAACATTGAGGCTATCGATATTTAACTGATGTCGAAAATCAATTTTCAAGTATAATGTTATTATTTTAATTCGAAACGAAGACATTAGCAACAGAATCGTATAAACTGTTGAGATAAAATTGATAAAGCTTTTCACAATGGGTTCAGGGAGCAGAGAAACATTGTTTAAAAATAATTAAGTTTTCTGTTTACAATTTAAAAAATTTAATAAATAATAACTAAAATTTGGTTTGGTTGAAAGAAATTGATTCCAAAATTGGGTCAATTTTTGTTTTTTGTTTAATTAAAATAAAATAAAAATCATATTGCTCATCAAAAATAGTTTGGATGAATATACAAAAATTGAAGCCTCATTCCAAGTAATATCTAGTTATATTAAATTTATTTTTGAACACATTTATAAAAATAAAAATATTAAAAAAAAAATAATAATAGAGTAACTGCTTTCTTTATATATTCGTAATAATTTCATAAATTGATATACAATATAAAAGAACTGAATATAATGCAGACGAGTCTCGATAACTTGTACCCTGCTAAATCGAAAATCGCGGTAAATCGATTCCCTTGAAAGCAATTCGTTATCAATAATTCTGGATAATTTTAGTTTTTGTGTAAATTGAAAAATAAAAAATCTGATCCCCTTTCCATTTCGAGCTATCGAGATTCTACTGTTTTGCTATTTTAAGTGCATTGAAATGCTTTACAAAAACGAATAGTCAGAGGAAAATTAAAAAACTGTAATTTATAAAATATAAACAATCAAAATTAAATATTTTCAATAATAAATTATGAAAAAAAAAATAATTTGGCAAGCCTAGCCAATTAATTCGCAATAAAATTACGTATACATAATATTATCATAATATTTGTGTTTTTCCAAAAACAAAAAAAAAAAAGAAAACAATGGCACATTTACAATGCCACCCATTAAAATTATGTTATTTCTAAACAAGCTATTTAAACGGAAACTCACCGTCAATCATGTTGACACCGAGAAGTACTTATTTATTGCGTGTGGTGGGACGCTCGCTGCTGGCGCTGCTGCAATAAGGCAAATGGAAAGGCAAAGTTTTAATTAAATAGAAGATATTTATGCCAGCATTTAGGCAAACAAAAAAAATTAACGTAAAAACAAAAGCTGCGCCAACCTGAAACCGCTGTAAAATATTCAACAATTAAGCGGCATGAAATGCCGGCGCACAAGTGTTAATAATTGAAATACACGTGGTAGCTGGCGCAACTTGGCCAACAACAAATAGGCTAGGCGAACTTTTAGCCGGTGGCCAATTAATAATAAATCGTAGGGGGACGAGGTGGTCGTGTGGGAGGTGGAAATCAAAGTCTTTGAGTTGCGGAGGCAAACGCCGCCAACCAACTAATGACGCGCTCCATTTGGGACGAGCTACGTGCAACAACAAATTAGCGCCACAAAACAGGGCCACAAAACTTTGCGGAGCTAAAGTCAAAAGGTGGACAGCACACAAAAGACAAAGCTGCAAAAGGGGCAGAGCAAAACCAACAATAACAACAACAACAACAACAATAACGGGCAAAACTTTAGCGAAGCCAGCTTCAATGGGTCTTACAAACTGTTGCGGACTTGACGCTTGATTGAGCGCATCCAAAATTTGTAAGGGACCATTGCCCACGCTCAAATTCTGACTCTAGCTCTGTGAGTTTTTTGGTTCACGTCACGCGGCCTGATTGATAAGGTAAATTTGAGCCGGAGTCCGACCCGTACTTCGGACAGGCTGAGCCCCCAGCCAGGTAAAGTGTTTCGAAACAATTTGTTAAGGTATTTTCGTGGCTGGCAAATTATGAATGGGCAACGGCATTTTAACTGCACTTTATTACGCATTCTTAAATTAAATCAAGCTGCTTTCTTTGGGGCCACTCAAGCCTAATTGCATAACTGAATTACCGAGCAGAATGAGGACCGACACAGCGAAACTTTAATCCCACCTAATGTGCAAAAGAAACGAGCCAGAAAGAAAAGAAAAAGCGGCAAACAATTTAAAAATTTAAATTAAAACGAAATGGAAGCGCCAATGGCCAAAAGGCTCTTGAATCAAACAATTTCAATCGCGAATTCCATTCCCGAATTCCTCAAGAAGCTGCAATCCAATCTTAACAAGTAAGAAGGCTCCAGTCGAGACTGCTCGACTAGGAGATACCCTGAACGCTCCAAGCTCCAATCATTCCGCACTTCTTCTATGTACACATACATACACATGCACTTATAAGCACGCGCTCTGCTAGCTGCGCAGTAAGCAGCGGCTGCGCTTGGGCTGCGCTGCAATGTGGGCAATATTTTGACAATTTATTTGTTGAATAATTTCTTTTGTAGACACACGATCCTAATGAAACTTTCAGAGCGTAATCATATGGTTAAAGTGTGTGTACATTCCAAAGCACAAGTCTCTAGTACTTGAAATGCGTTTTTTACAAATTGGGGCGAAAGGGGCGTGGTATCCAAAATCTGTAAATTACAAAATCTTTGTATCTATTAACTTTATATACAACGCAAATTTTAAGTCTCCAGGTTTAAAAGTGTTCAAACAAGGCTGAAAAAACCAAGTCGATTTTTCGATTATTCTCGATAAAAAAGTTATCGGGCGAGTTATCGAAAAAATAAAGCAAACTCGTACTGCCTATGGTATACACGAGTGTGCATGCCAAATTTCAGCTCTCTAGCTCTTATATCTTCTGAGATCCTTTTGCTCATACGGACGGACGGACGGACGGACGGACGGACAGACGGACAGGGCTATATGGACTCAGCTCGTCGTCCTGATCAAGAATATATATACTTTATGGGTTCTACGATGATTCCTTCTGCCTGTTACATACTTTTCACAAAACCATTATACCCTGATTTCCCATTTTCAATGGGTTCAGGGTATAAAAATCAATTTTGCAACTGCCCTGACTGGCTGCCCGTCTTATTAATCCCGAATCGCCGAGAGCAGAAGCTAATCAATCAAATGCCCCGTTAATGCCCGTTAAGCCCGATGGCCAATCTTGAATTTTGGCCCAACAATTTACAACAACAACAAAATCAAATATATATGTATATGTATATAAGCATAAAACTGTGAGTTTATATCAGCTCAAACGGCCGAAATTGTGTTCGGCTGGAGCTTAACCACGCCCACGCCGTCTCCACTCGGCGGCACTTCAATTATCTGAACTCATTTTGACACGCATCAAAAGTGAAAAAACTGACAGCGTGAAGAATTGTTCAAGAGAATTGAATTTGTACCTGAAGGCGTTGGTTTGATTGATTTCCATATTGCTCACAATGATGATGATACAGATGACGATGATGATGATGAGAGAGATGCTGCTGATGCTGCTCATTATCGCAGCTCGAGTTAAGGTTTTGCTGACACTCGCCGCAGCTTCAATTAAGTTGCCTAATCAATTGTGAATGCTGAGCTGTCTTGCGAGCCTAATTAAATTTTCTAATCGACTTGCGTCCAAATGATGTGGCAGAAGCCAGGTGGCAGGTGGCAGGTGGTAGGTGGTAGGTGGTAGATGGCAGGAGGCAGGTGGCAGGAGGCGGGCTCTGCCACAGAATTGACTTTAACTGATTTACACCGAGACGCGTACACTTTTTGGCCATGTGGCCTAAGTAGTCCAGCTAATAAATTATCTGCTGCCAGTGAGTGAAAGAAGAGGAGCAGGAGGAGGAGAAGCAGAAAACCAAAAACTCGCGACGCATAAAAAACACTCTCGCATCTCGGCCTAAAGGCAAGCATTGCTTTATGTTGTTTATGCGCAAATTGTTTTCATCTCTTTATTTACGTTTATTTTATTTTATTTTATTTTTTTTTTTTTTTTTTTTTTTTTGCTTAGTGTTATGATTTATGCTTACATCCACAGCTGCCACGCCCCAGTCATAATTTATGCCCGTGCACACAGTAAATGGAAAGGCTCTCGAACCGACCTTGGAAAACATTTCTACTTTTGTATAATTACTGAGCTGCGATGAAATCTCCTCGGGCTTCATAATGAAGAGTTCTCAAATTACTTAATGATATGATCTCATATGTATAACACATACATATGTATGTATGTGCAGCTAAACCAATATTCAAACTTAGTCAAGAAAACTCTTCACTTAAAGGATTTAATTATTCATATCGGAAATGAAAATATCTCATGATATTTCATTTCATTTACCGGATTAATTATTGAACAACTTGAAGTAATTGAAGCCAAGACAGACAACAGATATTTGGGAATTCACTCGAATGAAATGTATCAACGTTAAATGTATAATTATAAATAGCCATTAGCATAGGTTTTATTGTTAGATAATATAGATAATAATAACCAATCAGTCATTTTCTATCAGATTCGCTTCAATTAAAGCTCATAACATTAATACCTGAAAATAAGACAGACACATATTTATTTTTGTTTTATTATTATTCACCTGTCCTACAATCGGTAAATGGTTTTCAATAAATATCTAAGTCATTTGTAATTTTTGATTAAAATCCTTTCTGATTTCATTATCATTATTATCATGCATAAATTGTAAGCCAAAGGAACATTCACTACATTTTAATTGCATTAAATTATTCAGTCCTCATATAAAGAAATTTACTTAGATCACACAGTGAGTAACATTAATATTCGTTTTTTTTTTCTTTCAACTGTTTTCCGTTTTATTTATAATCTTTGTTAGTTTGTTGTTATACGATATTGATATATATCTCATCGGATAGCTTCTTTTTTAATCTACTACTTAATATTGTCTTATAGCTCTCCCTATAACTCTGAGCGACATCAAAAATATGAATCCCTTTCTTTCCCATAAACTAATAAACTCTCCCTTTCTTTCCCATGATATGAGCAATAAATGAAAGTATCATCGATATTCACTCTGTAATACGAAGCAAAGACGAGCAGTAATAATATTTGTTAAAATAACTTAAATAATATGAAGAACAGATACGTTCTGTTCTCTCTCTCTCTCTCTCTCTCTCACTCTGTTATCTCTTATTATACATTGTCTACAACTCTGATAATATAAATGTAAACTCTCGGTATATGATATATTTAAAATTTTAAATGTATCTATTTCTGTCTCTTTCTATCTTTCTATTTATTCTCCATTATATTCTCTCTCTCTCTCTTTCTCTCTCTCTCTCTCTCTCTCTATATATATATATATATATATATATAAATCTTTCTTTTTTATTTCTATTTCTTTCTCTCTCTATCTATCACTCCCTCACTCTCTTTCTCTCTAGCTCAGCCTCTCGTTATCTTTCGCCGAAGATATATTCTTAAATTTGTCAAAAGTTCTCTCACTAATTTTGTTCTCTCAATAGATTTGAACATTAACTCTATCTCTTCTTTCTATATCTGTGTATTTCTCAGCTGCTTCCCCTGTATCTGTCTACCCCTCTCATCTATCTCTTCTTCAAACTCTTTCTCTATCAAACTCTTCCACTCTCTATTGATAACTATCCACACACACGGATAGAGAAATTTCCTCATAGCTTTATTTGATCTCCCCCTTCACCTTTATTGCAGGAAAAGAGCATAAAGAAATGTGCCGCCTAGGTGTAGTCGACAAACTTAAAATAAATCACAGCCTACCGCAATGCCGGTGAACTGCATGCTCACCTGCGAACGAACGAAGATGGCATGCATAATTAGAGCAACCTGTCTGCTGGAATGAATAAATTTGCGACCTGAATGCGACTCATATGCGTACACTTGAACATGAATGCGCAGCTGAAGCAAACCGAGCCCCGGGCAAACCCATATTCTTGTGTGTACATGTATTCATACACATATATGTACATATGGGCATTGGCAAGTGCTGAAACTACGGAAAATAAAGAAATAAGCAAGCTGCCGTAAAGCGCTGTCTACATAAGAGAGACCTCAATATGAAAATGATATAAACTTAAATAAAGCAGCATGTTTTTAATTAAACACAAAATTGTTAAATATTTATTTTATGATAAAGTTAAGGCTGGAGAAACCAGATCTGAAAATATGGAAAAAATGCTTAATATGAAAAAATGCTTAAGCATTTTTTATTTTAAATGAAGTTGTACCTGATACTCCTACACTTGATATTTAAAGAAATGCAATTAATTAAGAAATTGAAAAATATGAAAACTTTGTTAGAAGATTATTAGATGATTACAAGATTGTTCCAAGATTCCATTAAGAATACAAAATTTAAATAAATTTAATATTAATTGGACTGACTAGCAATGATATATTATCATTAATTTCACTTTTACTGCTTAAGTTATATTTTCAAAATTATGTAAATCTTGCAGTCGCAAAGGCGAACTAAATTTGATATAAATTAGAATTATTACAAAGAAAATTTTTTAACTAATTAATAAGCAGCAATAAAATTTTAAAATTTAATATATTAGGTAAATGATCAAGCTTAAATATATGTTAACAAATTGAAAATAAAATAAAATAAAATTGATGATAATATAATATAATAAATTATAAATTGTACATTACTTATAATATATATACTTATAATAATATAATTATAATAATAAGTACATAAGATTGTATTCATTTTTCATAAGTAAGAAAAAGGAGAGTAAGGTCATATATAATATTAAAAGTGTAGTCAATTTTTTCCATTAAAGATATATTATTGATTTAATAATAATACATATTATAAATTATAATTATATAAGTATATATGTATTTATTATTATTATTATTATTATTATTAATATGTTATTATTATGTTTTATTAATTTTGTAGAAAGTCATATATAAAATTATCAAATTATTTCAATTCTCACGAACACCAAGAATAATATGTTTTTTTTTTTTTCGCAAGTATAAATTGGAAAATTCAATATAAATATATATTTATAAACTGTAATAATACCAACACCTCGACTTGTGCATTGATTATAGCCCAAATGCGTATGGTCAAGTATATGTAAGGATAATAGATCGGAAATTCTATAGAAATATGCCCAAATGCTAACAAATCAAATGATAACTGTTTCTATAGTAAGTAAGCTGCCTCAATAAAAGACTTTAAAATAAGCTCTGCCTTGCTTTGCATTCATGTGCCCCGAATGAATTACAGTAAAATTTTTAAACCCAAAGTGACAAAAAAAAAATAAGATTTTGTTGTTGGAGTTGATTCGAAAGGTTAAAAAATTATGAAAACAAATTGCCGCTTAAGCGCAACACCAAAAACTGTTGCACACAATTATATAAAACTATTTCATATTTTTATGATTTGCTCTGCGCCATAAGCCATGCAAGTGGCCACAATTAGTGGGAAAGGGGAACAAAAAGCCAGCATTAAAATTATAATTATATTCTGTCTGTTTGTCAAACTGAATGCTGATTGCAGGAGTTCATTATTATTATTATTATTTTTTTTTTTTTTTCACACACATATCACAGAAGTTGCTTGCAGTTGGCTAATAGACATCATGATGATGGTGATTAAAAGTCTTAATGGGCCACATTGTCTTGGCTAAAAGCAAAGCCCAAAGCAGGCCCCCGCCCAGCTCCATTGAGTGCTTATTGATATTTATGGCTAGCAGAGCCGGACTTAGTTGCCCACTTAATATGTTTAGCAGGGCGTAGAATTTATGGCTTCGACTAATGGCTAATTCTGGCACACGAGTGCAATATTATATAACTGCTGAATGCTTATGTGTGTGTGTGTGTGTAAATAGAGCAGAAACTTTAGAAATTATATGACTGTTCTGATTTATGTCTGGAACTTCACATAAATATACTAAATATCTATACATACATATATAGATTTACCGAAGCTCAGCTCTCGATTAGATGGAAACATGGATCGCCATCAGCGCTGGGGTTAATTGAAATACCTTTCAAGTGCTCATTTCAATTATGCAATCTTTTCAACGCACGTCAAATTGATAATAATATAATTGAATGGTATTTCACACACGGCTTGTATATTAAGCATTTCTCTATCCATTTTAAACACTCGCATTATCTGCGTATATCCAATAATAAACAGACACGAGCATTTTCAAATAGGTTTTCGGTCCCCTGCTGCCGCCGTGTCGAGCAAGTTTATAACTCGTTTGGCGTTTTCGACTGTTGTTGACATTAATTGCCAATTAATTTTGCCGCTGCAACATTAACAGAATTCAATAAATTAATAAATATTTGCACTTTTTGAAGAAAAAAAAAAAAAAATATATATATATATATATATATATATATATATATATTTATATGCATATTCCATTAACAGCTGGGTAAGTTAATTAAGCGAACTGTCAAATGCAAGCGAAAAAAAAACACTTCTCAAATGGGCAAAATATCTGAATGTCGATTTATTTCTTTGCTCGTGGGCTGGCTAATAGCTATCAAATCGATAGGCCAGCTCAAAGTTTCCAAACAAGTAGAGCAAACGGAAACTTTTTGTCTGTATCTAATGGGAATTTAATACGCACAAAAGTATGCTACAAATTTTTTTTTTTTGCTCAACTTTAAACGAGGCCCAAAAGTCAAACGTGCGGAAGAAATGACTAACACTTCAAGTCCACACACATATAAGAAAAGAGAGAGAGAGAGAGAGTGAGATAGCTACAGAGTCGAGTAAATAACTGCACATTAGACAAAACAAAAGTTGGGGGCAAAAATCACTCATACGCAGTATCTAACAAGCAACGAAATAGAAGGCGAGTGATAGATAGAATACAGGGGCTGAGCATGAGACACGCCCACACACACACACACACACACACACAAGTTCATTTACGCTTCAATGCAATTGTTTTGGCATCTGCTTTCCGAGGTGTTGAGCTCAGCTTCAATTTTAAACATTTTTCTTTTTGTTTTCAGTTTGCAGGACACGTCATAAGCTGCTATCCTGCTGGCCAAATCACAAATACAAGCACAATTCTGATACGTCGCATCAAAGCATGCATAAAAGTTACAAGAAAAGAGAAAAAAGAAAAACACCCAAACACACTTAGATCCATCGAATGATGAAATAAAAGTTTCGCTTTTGTTAATTCTGGGAGCTGAGCCTGACTCAATTTATGGCTTGATGCCCGCATAATTTCATTTGGTTTTGTTTGACTTGATTTGCGCAGATAATGTGACAGCCCATAAAAGGCCTGACCTCAAAAAGATTTTGCTTTTTATGTTTTTATGTTTATGCGTTAGTTTGTTTTGAAGCTCGTAAGATAAAGAGCATAATTAAAATGACTTTCATGGCCCAATAAACGTTTCAAAGTCATTTCAATGTGCAGCACACCACACAAATCCCATTTAAAATCTTAAACAATTACTAAAGTTACAATTTTTAATTACAATTTGTACACATATATTCAATCGATCGCATCAGAGCAGACAATGTCGTGCTATAAGGCGCTCAATAAATATGCTATTCATTGAAGTGCAGCCAATGCATTGTCTGCTCTGTCTGCTCACTGGTGTTTCCAGCATATTCGCAATTAATAAATATTCACACGTTGCGACGTTTTCTGTTTCGTTTATTAAGTAGCTCACGTTTTTGGACCCCAGCATCATCTTGCCGTAGCCATAAATTTTATATTGGCCTGCAACTGCAGCGTGGGCTGATCAGCACGTTTGCGGCATTCGGCATTCGCTTTTAGCACCTTTTCCTGGGCTTATCTCTCACGCGATAAGTTTTAATAAATGGCTCTATCGATGGCCTCTCTATTCCCTTTTTAAATGCCCTGACCCCAGTCAAAAACAAAAAATGTTTCTGGGCACATTTACGCAACAGTTAGTAGAGGGCGTGGCAAATCGGGCAACCCTGTTCCTTTTACTTCTTAAACTATTAATGCATATTGAAACATGTCGTGACATGTCGGAGAAATAAATATATGATAAATCTCTGAAGTTAGAACCCAAAAATTCAAAAGTCAACAAACAACAGATTTCCTCAGTCTAAAACATTCTCAACTGAATGGCCAATCTCTCTGTGATTCTTGCAGTTTTCTTTAAAGCCAGTCTATAATTCAATACTTGGAATATCGTGGTCAATGCCGGCACAAGCCCCGTGAGCTAAGAATTCCTATTGGCAGTCAATAATCAATAAGTCAGTCAATCAGTAGGACAGGCTGAGAGTTCAGTTTTAAGCAACGGCAAATATTACACTGATTGATACGAAATAATCCCAAACCAAGGAAACAACTGTACACATCTATGTACATTCTTATAATTTCCGAAATGTTACGTCTAGGAGTATGCCTTTCCTATCCTCTTAACTCCCAGAGAGAACAAATTTGAATGCATGAAGATTTCTGTATATTTAATGTGCACATTTTAACAATTCTTATATCTATTTGTAAAGTAAACTTGGTTGATTTCGTTCCATGGTTGTCGCTCAGATCAGTTATCATCTATGGATCAGTTATCATCTAAAAGCCTTTGAGGGACCATTTCTGTAGTTTTTTGTTTTTATTGCGGCGCCTCTTGATGACAGTCTTGCCAGGCCTCCTGACCACCCTCCACTTGCGCTTCCTCCTTGTCTTCTTGCCAGCTGCGGGTGCAGCCGTAGTGCCTGTTCCTGTTCCTGTTCCTGCTGTTGTGGCTCCGCCGGCTGGCGGGTCAGTTACTGTTGGCGCCGCAGTTGTCTCTGGAGCTAATGTTGTAACTGGATCTAATACACAGTCGGGATGAGCCACATTAAGGGCGTCTGAACAGTCAGTGCAGCCCGTGGGAAGGCCAGCATCGTCGCATGCCACTGCATCGCTCTTAGGCAGATATGAAAGGCATATGGCCAGGAGGGCACAGCTTAGCAATACAACTTTCACTTCCATCTTATTCAGATCAGTTGGTGAATGATACTCTCACCCCAAGACTCCGTTGCTTATATAGCAATTCGAAGTGTTTTGCACAGTCTTCACAGATGTTTCCCAATATGCGATTTTAGTGCTACTGTGTCATGTGTATTTGAGTAGTTGGAGCTTCCTAATATTTACTCAACTGGAATGTTATAAGTGGGGCATGACGAATTTATATAATGAATTATAATTATAACTAAGTGGTGGGTAAGAAATTCGAATCATTAATTTGTTTGACTAAATACATGTATTACTAAATAAATAAGTGAACTAAGGAAAAAATCGTTAGAATTGATCAGAGCATTAGCCTTAAACCGTTATTTCTTCCTGGATATCAAAGGAATTCATTTAGAAATGTATTTATACTATCAATAATATTATAGTAGATATAGCATTTTAGAGCTGCAGCATCGCCCCTAAGCTATTTACATAGCTTTGAGTAATCGATATCGATTATCTTAGTCGAAGGTATATCTGCAATATATTTATGATCTTGTGATTTTAGTGCGCTTAAAATTAAAACTGAGTCTTCTACAGTGCTAAAGCTAAAATTAAAACAACATTTTTGAGTTTGGGCATTACTAGTGTTAAAAGCCCATATATACATATATTCCAACTTTCAAGTCTGTAGCACGAATAATACTTCCGAGATGTGAAGAATTGTATAAATCATTATATTGTGAGGTCCAAGCAGTTTTAATTGCAATTGTAATTCACGTCGTCAATTCGGGGCTAATAGCTCAAAGCCAAACTCTATTGCTACCATATTTCCTTATACTGGGACGTGGCATTTCCCAGTAACAGTCGAATTGGGAAAATCTTGAAGAACACGCGCTAGCAAAACCGTAGAGACCTTACTGCCAGAACGCTATCCCGGGTATCTCAAAAGACGCTAAAATGTACGCACTCAAATACCAATGTAAATAAAATCGATTAAAACTAAAATAATTGTCCATTTATTCAAGCAGACTTCAAAATTTGACTCGTTCAAACTAACTGATAGAAAGGCGAAGTCACCTCTGCTCATCATCCTGCTCAAATACATATGCCTATACCCAATGAGAGTTATATCATTTGTTAATGGACAAATTAATGATCCGAATTTCTTACCCACCACTTAGTTATAATTATAATTCATTATATAAATTCGTCATGCCCCACTTATAACATTCCAGTTGAGTAAATATTAGGAAGCTCCAACTACTCAAATACACATGACACAGTAGCACTAAAATCGCATATTGGGGAACATCTGTGAAGACTGTGCAAAACACTTCGAATTGCTATATATGCAACGGAGTCTTGGGGTGAGGGTATCATTCACCAACTGATCTGAATAATATGGAAGTGAAAATTGTATTGCTAAGCTGTGCCCTCCTGGCCATATGCCTTTCATATCTGCCTAAGAGCGATGCAGTGGCATGCAACGATGCTGGCCTTCCCGAAAGCTGCACTGACTGTTCAGACCCCGATTATGTGGATTATACCGACTGTGTATTAGATCCAGTTCCAACATTAGCTCCAGAGACAACTGCGGCGCCAACAGTAACTGACCCGCCAGCCGACGGAGCCACAACAGCAGCTGCAGCCGCAGCTGGCAAGAAGACAAGGAGGAAGCGCAAGTGGAGGGTGGTCAGGAGGCCTGGCAAGACTGTCATCAAGAGGCGCCGCAATAAAAACAAAAAACTACAGAAATGGTCCCTCAAAGGCTTTTAGATGATAACTGATCCATAGATGATAACTGATCTGAGCGACAACCATGGAACGAAATCAACCAAGTTTACTTTACAAATAGATATAAGAATTGTTAAAATGTGCACATTAAATATACAGAAATCTTCATTCAAATTTTTTCTCTCTGGGAGTTAAGAGGATAGGAAAGGCATACTCCTAGACGTAACATTTCGGAAATTATAAGAATGTACATAGATGTGTACAGTTGTTTCCTTGGTTTGGGATTATTTCGTATCAATCAGTGTAATATTTGCCGTTGCTTAAAACTGAACTCTCAGCTTGTCTTACTGATTGACTGACTGATTGACTGACTGATTGAACACTGACTTAGTGGCTTATTGATTATTGACTGGCAGTATAACTCCGAAATAAGAAACACAATTCAAACCCGATTTTAACACAATTCAATTTTGATTCTTATGGTATAATGGAATAGATGCATTTAATTTTATGTGTGCACACAAAACGGTTGCTTTTTATAGTTTTGTTTCAAATCATCTATATAAAAAATAATATAAATAAATAAAAATAAAAATTTAATATGTATAAATATAAGTCAAACTGAATTTAAAATTAAAGAATCCAGCTCCAAATATGTGATATACATTTTATTAAATTGAAATATAAAAATGTGTTTAACCTATTTATGTTTTCTTTTTCTTTTTAATTTTGATTATTATTCTCAATATGATAATACGAAGCGTAGGATCAGTATATCGATATAATGCTTTAACAACAAATTAGTTTACATTACATTACAAGCCAATCCCCATTATTTCTCTAGCAACCGATTGACGAAAATAGTAAGCGATATGCTGCTAGGCATATATGATACAAGGAACATATGAAACAAGTAAGAACGTTGCGGTTGGGCGTTACCGACTGCATAATAGTCATTCATTCGCAAACCGATAGAGGATGTTAAAGCCAATTTAGTGGGTAAATTTTGAGTTTGTAAATCCAAAACAGGTAAAAATCCCGATTTACCACCACCCCAATTTTTAGAACTAGTCAAAACTACTTTGACTGTAGAATTTGGATGCTTGCGCTTCAATAATATAGAAACAATTAAGAACGTTGCAGTCGGCCGATACCAAATGCAGAATACTCATTCACATCCCATTTGCCACACCCTCAATTTGTATATAAGTAAGTATGTACATTCTTTTTGTGCAAATTAACAAATGCTGCTAACCGCAATTTAGTCGCTAAGGTTGAGATTCCAGTTCTAATACTTTTTATACCCTGAACCCATTGAAAATGGGAAATCAGGGTATAATGGTTTTGTGAAAAGTATGTAACAGGCAGTATGTAACTGCGCAGTTAGCAGAGCGCGTGCTTATAAGTGCATGTGTATGCATGTGTGCATAAAAGAAGTGCAGAATCATTGGAATATTAGTTTGGATCCCTGATCTCCTAGTCGAGCAGTCTCGACTGGAGCCTTCTTAATTTTTTTTTTTTTTTTTTTTTTTTTTAAATTTATTTTAAGCGCTGAATCTGTACAATGCAAATATAGTACCTTAACAACACAGTTAGATTATTTTATATAGAGCCTAACCTTCTGATAGTTCTAATACTATTCAAAATTCAGTTTTTCCCTATTTGCCCCGTTCTCACTGGGCGTAGACATATGAAGACACATAAAGAAGCGTAACAATTTTTTTTAGAGGCGACCCGTAATTTAACTATCTAAATTTGAAGCTTCTGGCTCCTAAACTGTGGGAGATATAAACTTTTGTGGTTTGTCACGCCTCCAATTTCTGGTCTCTACCATCAATAGTGCCTAAGATATAGCAGTATTTAAAAAATCACTTTATATTCAGATTCGATTTGCTACGACCCTAATGGGCATAGACATAAAGTCTTTTTTACTTGAAGTTTCAGCTTTCTAGCTTTTTAGCTCTTTAACTAATATGATTTCTGGAATATCGAAAAATTGATAGACGGACATGCACCAAATCAATCTACCCCTGAGTATAAAAAACTACGAGGTATATTATTCCAAAGAGTCGTAAGAATTTTTTTTCCGTCATCGATGGTAAACTCCTCTACTAGTGAATAATTGTAGCTATATAGCCCACTAAGAGATCACGATAACATCTTAAAGAGGCCATCCAACCAGTGGCTAGTTAATAAATATTTAGATGAGACAAACAGGGGTTTAAATGTATACAGTTTTCTGTATATTTATTGTGCAGATTGATCCAAATTTTGTATATCTATTTGGAATATAAGACTATTTCATTTCGGCTGTTGCTTGTCGGTCGTGATGAATCTGTTCTGATCAGTGATCAGCTCTGCAATTAGCCCTTGGTGCGGCGCCTCTTGATGACAGTCTTGCCAGGCTTCCTGACCACCCTCCACTTGCGCTTCCTCCTTGTCTTCTTGCCAGCTGCGGGTGCAGCCGTAGTAGCTGTGCCAGTTGCTGCTGTTGTGGCTTCGCCGGCTGGAGGGTCAGTTACTGTTGGCGCCGCAGTTGTCTCTGGAGCTAATGTTGGAACTGGATCTAATACACAGCCCGTGGGAAGGCCAGCATCGTCGCATGCCACTGCATCGCTCTTAGGCAGATATGAAAGGCATATGGCCAGGAGGGCACAGCTTAGCAATACAACTTTCACTTCCATCTTATTCAGATCAGTTGGTGAATGATACTTTTACGCCAAAACTCCACTGCTTATATACTAACTCAAAATCCGTTTCCATAGTTTACACAGCTGTTGCCTAATACCTCGTGCTTTGCTTCTGAATTATTTTGCTTTATTTTGATTATCTGGTTAAGCAAACATAGAAAATAATAAAACAAATTGTACAAACCGTGCTTTGTTTGCTAAAAGTGCAGACAATAGCTCTAGAGCAACTAACTAATCTAATCATTGGATATTAAATAATCTAGTGTTAGCCTTTAATCTAATCAGTCATTTTTATTATTGGTCAGACTAGCTCTATAAATAAATTAAGTATAAATAAAAAATCTTCAACAAAATATTCGATCGGACTAGCTATGAAGGAACCAATAAATAAATAAATTAAAAATAAAATTTAAATTATTACAAAAATCTCTAACAAGTTATTCGTATCCTACATAGGATCGACTATCAAAAAATATATATTTTGTATATCTAAATTTGATTTTAGTAAGTTTTTAGATTATTTTCTCAGCTCTTTTAGCTTATTATAAATTCAAAATGAATGTTGATATTAGGGCTCTTATAGGGCTAAGCTTTCCAATTGACCTTCACGTCACATTAATGTTCCCATTTCAAATGAACCGCTCAAGGGCCTCGTTTGGTGCATGTTAGTTGCCATTTACAAATGTGTGTGTGAGTGTGTGTCTGGAATGTGTGTTGATGTTTACGTACAGCAAAATGCAATTACACTCAAATTTACACACACTGCCCCAAACAACGGCCAAATGTGCGTTCCACAATTCGAACTGAAACAACATTGCAAATTGATGAACTCTATAGAACAACTCCAAAGTATTGAAATCAAAATAGTATCAAGTAATACTAATAGGGATATTTCAATACTTATTCCCTCACAAACCGATTTAAAAATAAGAAATAAAAAAATTGTCTCCAGACAAAACAAAATTATAAATAATAGCAAATAATAGTAAACAAAACAATCAATCTTTATACTGTCGAGTGTTCTCTTTTGATTATAAATATTATATATGAAACATGATATATGTGATTTGATTGATTGATGAAGGATAAATATTTTTGAGGAATCGAGCAGACAGTTCACATGTTTGTTTTCAAGCCTTACAAGTATGAACAAATTGTCTTTAATATTACTATATAAATATTATATATAATTTATCTATTGTTTTTTTTTTCAGTTTAATTAAAACTTACTTTACATGCGATGTCAATATTTAAGTTAGCTCGCTATGCGGGACATTGTTACTTAGTCAACAACTGATGTATCTGAAAGAAAAAAATTAAAATAAAATATATACATATATCATGAATAAATAGTATAGAAAAATTTACTAGACTAGACTGGTTAATCAAAAAAAAAAAAACAACATTATTTTCACAATTTTTTTTTTTTTTTTTTTTTTTTGAATATTGTTACTTCATTAATTTGCTATAAATTCAGCATTTCGATCACAAAAATATACGAATGCCAAAAATGTAAACGGACTGCCAGGGCAATAGACCAAAATACCAAAATAAATTTGAAACAGTTACTAAATGTTACTAAATAAAGACTTGCAAATGTGAAATGGAAAATCCATTGCAAAATGCCAGCAAAATCGAAAAAAGCACGTACCATTTCATGTAATTACTAAACAAGAATAATGCAAATAGTAAACATAGAATATCGATTTAGTATAGTACTGAATAATATGTAAACAGCTATCTAAGAAATAACATAATAACATATGAACTGTAGATGCCCAATATATGAATTAATATGTTTATGAGCAGGGGGTATCAACTGTTAAAGGCATATATGTTAAATAACTAAATGTTAAATTTAAATAGTAACGTTAGAGAAAGCGTAGGACCCTAGCTGTAAAACGATATAGATTTTTCGAAAGTTCCCTATTTGAGGATGTTCTCTAGAAGATCACTTACTGTTTCACTCCATGTTTCTTTGTCTCTCGCTCAATCTCCATCATTCGTAATTTTTTTTTCCGAGTTCTCTGTATTCTCTAGCTCACTCTAATTCTAATACTCTAACACTAATATTGATAAATCTACAAATCTCTTTATCTCTCCTACACTATCTTTTGCTTTATCTCTTATTCATTATTTCCCTATCACTCTATCGCTCTTGCTATCCCGTTCGTCTCTGTCTCTGTCTCTCACTCCTTTTCTCTCTCTTTCTCTCTCTCTCTCTCTCTCCCTCTCCCTCTCCCTCTCCCTCTCCCTCTCTCTCATATAATATTTTTATTTTTTTCTTTCTCTGTAGTCAGGGCCCTGCAAAATTTAGAACATTCTGGCTCTATTATAGAGCCTTGAAAAATAGAATAAATCCCAATTTGTCACTTCGCCAATGAATTTATCTAAAATACCTTCTTGTTTTATAAGGCGAGACTATACAGAAGCATAAGCTTCCAGCTACGCATCGTATATAGTATATGACTAATATACTCTTAAAACATTGTGAATGAGCACAGTCTACGCTCACGCATTGGTGTGAATTTGCTCAACAAAACAGAACATTTACATGCAGACGGGCGGACGAACGGACGAACAGACGAACAGACGAACAGTAGATGGCTCTGAATAGTTAAAACAAGCTGGAAATCTGTAGTACATTACTGTGGTAACTGCGAGGATGCTAATGTCTTTTAGATAATCGCTGGCATGCGGTGCTCTTACTCGCCAGCTGGCATATTAAACAAAATGGCGTCGACAGGCATAGACACACAGACACACACACACGCATACACGTACACACTTAGGAGCAGCCGCAGCATGAGCAGCAGCAGCTTAGTCGATTCGAACGCCTAAAGCTATGCTAACATTTTCATGCCATTTGATTTTACTTTGCTTCGTTATCTACCACTCCCCCAAGCGTCCCACGCCCCTGGCAGCCTGGCAACACATGTCCTGGCTGCTCTCGGGTAATGTAAGCGTCGTAGCAGCGCCTAGGCTATTAGGCTTATCGTTTTCATAATTTACTAAAAATAATAAGCAAACAGGGATGTGTCTGCCTGGATTTGTTCACATGTGGCAATGCCAACGGCCAACTAATGCTCAGATTATGACCAAAATGACCAGCCAGCTCACCAAAGGTAAGGCAACAATGAGGTCATACAGGTTGCGCAGAGAGCAATAGAATTTTTTTTAATTTTAATTTATTTTATTTTTTTTTTTTTTTTTTTTTTTTTTTTTTTTTTTTTTTTTTTGTATTTTATTTAAACAGGCTTTTTACTACCTAATTGGCAGCTTAACAAGTTGAACATAAAGACACAATTATTTACAGTACACACTACAGAAATTTCATAACAATAACAATATAACAATTAACAAAAACATCAACAAACAATAACAATTTTTACGTAAATCACATGCAATTTGACTTGATACATTTTTATAGGAACCTCGCAGGGAGGTCCTGTGGATGGCACTTCTTCAGTCTTCTTTTTCTGGCTGCTTTCTTAAGTCTTCTTGCCAAAGGGTTTGGGTGGCCTTCGAGTCTTGCAAGGTAGCTAGCAGCTACCTTTTGCATAACGTCTCCAACTTTGGGGACCCTGAGATCTTTTTCAATGTCCCTGGTACGCATATACCAGGGAGCATTGCAAATTTGCCGGAGGATTTTTGCTTGTGCAACTCTTATTTTATTGAGATTTGTTTTTGCCGCAATCCCATAGATTTGAAGCGCATATCTCCATATGGGGCTGAGTATTGCTTTATAAATTGTCACTTTATTGTATAGTGACAATTTATTGGCCGGCTTAAGAAGCCATGACATCTTTGCGCTTTTGGACAAAACAGACTTTTTGACCATCGTGGTGTGCATATTAAATGTAAGCCTTCTATCTAACACTACGCCCAGATATTTGTGGCTTCTTTTGTGCGGTAGTGTTGAACCCTGCATGCTAATGCGACCACAGTTTAAAGGCCTTGTGGTAAACGTAACGTTTGCGCATTAGAGAGCAATCGAAGCAATACAAATCGTCAGCAAATACCAAACGCAAAGCATGTGTGAATATTATATAGCAATTTCCCTGGAATTCTTTTATTGTCTACGGAAATGGTGAATTGAGTCTTCAGAAATGTAACTTGGACCCAATGATGGGGCTAAAGCAAGTGATACGTCCGTATGCTTAAAAATCTGGATGACTTCACACTCAAATTAAATGTGAAATACAAATAAATTCGTATCAAATTGAATGCAGTGACGCACACAATAAAGCGAATATAAATACGTAATTCTGCGAAATGTATGAGAGATAGGTAAAGAACAATATTGCAAGTAAAATTTGGCAAAGCTGAAGACAGTCAAACAAAACTTACAAAAAAAGTAAAAAAATTATACCTTTTTTTGTTTTCTTATACGCCCGATAAATATGAATAAACAGTTAGAAAATCGGCTTGGCATTCGAATGCTTTCGAGACGCAACTTTTTAAGGACTACACTCATTCAATTCAGTCGTGTCTCCGACTCTTATCACTCACTCCTTTCCTCTCAACGTATTCTGAGCGTGATTTTTACTGGAACTTCACCTGAGTTATAACTGTGTTTGCTACTTATGTTTTTAATTTATTATAGTTAAGAGTTTATTAAATTAAAATACTTTTTTATTTTTATTTTTTTTACAATTTTATTTTAATTTTTAGATTTTTATTTTTATTTATTTTTATTTAGTAGCTTAAAACGTTGCAGAACACTAATCTGTAAATATTTCTTCAAGTAAAAGGCCAAACATCTTTTACTCTCTATTAAATATTTATTTAAACGCATTTTAATAAACATTTCCACTATAAAACACTTTAGCTAAAGAGAAACCCCAATGAAATTTTCCATTCAAGAAAGTCTTACAATTTCGTATCCTAATGATACGCTTAACCCAAATGAGTTTTGGCTTTCTGGGCAAAGTCAAATGCTACGCTCGTTGTTAAGTGATTTTAAAGGCAACAAATGGCCAAAAAGGTCAAGTGGGATTAATTAGCTTTGCTGGTCTGGTCAGGTCTCAGCCTTTGTGTTAGTCACCGAATCCATTGTTGCCAAATTAGTTTTTTCTTTCTGTCTGCTACAAAAGAGTTTAAATAATTCGTTTTCCAGCCGGATATGGCACGTTCTTAAGCCCTGATTCATTAAGTAGATATTAAGCATATATTAAGGATTTGGGTAGATATATAGAGATATAGAAACAGTATTTAAATAAGAGATATATAGAGATATCATTTATAATATAAATATTATAAATATAATAAAATATAACAAATGAAAATAGATCTAAAAACAAGTAAGAAAGCTCTAGACGAGACTGCTCGACTAGGAGATACCCTTACTGCGCGCCAATTCCTTTTATAGTCATACAATATTAATGAAACTTTCAAAGCGTGATCATATGGTTAAAATGGTTAAATATACTTTTCACAAAACCATCATACCCTGATTTCCCATTTTCAATGGGTTCAGGGTATAAAACGCCAGTCAAAATAACGCAGCTAAATATTTTATTCTTGTTCAATTTGTTTTTATTTGACTTTTAGAATTAAATATTAAAATAACTTGCTAAACATATTCTCATTCAGAAATTCTTATTTTCATACAACTTTTGTTCAATATTTATGAAATAAATAATTTAATAAAATTGTACGATTTTAATTGAATTTTTAGAAAAGAAACTTACAAGTATTGTATGCATTTAATTGAATTTTGAAGGAGAAACCACCAGCTATTATCAAAAAATAATTGCGTTCAGCCACAGAACTAAGCTGTCTTGCAACAAGAAAGGTAACTTAGGCACGGCTTAGGCACGTGCCACACTCACACATTTTATTTACTAAATATTTTACAATAATCAAGTGCAGCAATCAGAGCACTCACAGCTAACCAGAAAGAGATACAAATCAAGAAGCAGAGAGACAGAGAGAGAGAGAGAGAAAGAGAGGACTATGGACCAATAAAATATGCATGACAGAGCATCCAGTGAAATCCTCAACAAAGCTGACATGTAATATGTATTGTGCGAATGTGTGTGTGTGTGTGGGCGAATGCTTTTTGAGTGTGTGAAAACATGAAGCAAACATAGACTCACATTCACACACACACACACACACACACACACACACGCAGCACGCATACCAAGCAGCCTGATCAAATATTTATAGAGATAAAAATACACGCCAAAGGCGCATAAAATTACTTAAGTGTGAATTTGAGCTGAATGCGAATGCAATGCGGTGCGAGCATTTAACAGGTAGCCGGTAGCCAACTAATTTCACAAACTGGCCAAAAA